AAAGGAAAGGAAAGGAAAGGCCGTCCCAGGGTTTGACCACCCTCTTGGTATAAAGAAATGCTTCCTAATGTCCGATCTAAACCTCCCCGGGTGCAGCTTTGAACCATTCCCATGCGTCCTATCACTGGATACCAGGGACAAGAGATCATCTTCTTTTCCTGACTTTCCTTTCCCTGCTGCCGGAGGGTTTATTGTGCCCCTGCATCTCATCCCATCGCACATAATGGACCAGCGTCTCAAAAGCCACTGGGACCTTCCCGGAGTGGAGGCACGCCGGAGGGAAACAGCACATCTGGCTTCACAGATGGATGAGTCGAGTCCTTGGGTCCTGCTGCGGCTGGAGGTGTCGATGGACACCACGATGCTCCCGCTCCTGCGGGAGAGGATGGCGTGGCCCAGGGGACACCCCGAGTACGGCGTGCATAGATTCTGCAGGATTTCAGGCACGGCTGGGGGCTTCACCGACTCCTGGCGCTGCCGTCCTGTCCCCCAGCAGGCACCAGGCATCCTCTGCCGGTCCCCAGCGCAGGACAGGGCTCCGGCGGGACACGCCACCAGCCTACAGCGAAGCTGGGACAGGAACTGGCAAAGGACAGAGACATCTTGAGGTCCTTGGGAAGGGACTAATAATTCCAATTGCCCCCGAGGAGAGAGAAATACAGGAGGATGACTTGAGCTTAGTGGATTGTCTGAGGCGTCTCAGGGGATCATCAGATACTTCCACTCCCTTTTTGTCCTGAGGTGACAAGTTTTCCTTCCCATTCACAGAAATGCAAAGTAGTTCATTCACAGTAGTAATAAGGACAGTGTCCTTTGTAAGACAGCCAGCTAGCGAACCCTCCGAGCTGCTTTACAGCAAAACAATTGCAGATGAAATGACAAAACCCACCCCAGATGAGCACCAGCCAGATCGGTATCAAATGCTGAACAAGCTCATGTGTAGCGAAAGCAGATTCACCAGCTCATTTCCCTGCCAGCGGCTGGCTGGGACCTACGAAGAGTTTCTTTAAGATCAGAAATACAGCCAGAACAGAGCAAATGTGAGATGGAAGACCGAAGTGACAGCTGCCCGGGCTCTTGGTGCACGCTCGGCTGCCCTGCCATCCAGCACACGTCCGTCCGCAAGAGATGCAAAAACCGGAGGCTGCAGAAAACCAGGGATGCGCTGGATGGACTGGCTGGGACAGACCTTTACCTGGATGGAGCAGGGAGCAGATCACAGCCCGAAACAGGGAAGCAAAGGGCTCTTCTGCAGTGCTTTTATGCTAGTATGGCTAATAGGGAGAGAATTAGCTCTATAAATGTGTAATCCTGCTGAGGTCCCGACCCCAGCAGTGTCCTGTGCCACCGAGATCCACAAGCCAATTACGTACCGTGCCGCGTAGGCTCCCTTTCATCACTTTTCAGTCTTTCTGCATTTCAGATTTACTGGATGTCCTTGTGTTTGGTGGAGAAGAGGGCAAACTGGAGCCTGTCATGTACCTTCTTCCCCATTCAGCAGCACATCATTCTGCCTGCAGCAGGGGGGAAGGAGACTGATGGGCAGGCATCAAAGCCACCGGCTCTGTCACATTTTCTTCCCACAAAAAAAAAAAAAAAGCAATGGCATCATTTGGAGCCCGGCCCACAGTCTCAGGTCTCTTTCCCACACCCGAAATGGGCAGCAGCGCCTTTCCCCAGGCCCTTGGTCTCCTCTCAGGGTGGGTGTGTGATGCCATGAGCCCTCCAAGTGAACGTCCCTGCGGGTCGGCAGCCAAGCGAGCATCGCAGACACCGGCAAAACCCCATCCCCACCGGAGACGTGTGCCAGCACGCTGGGTCGTGAGCGCGGCTGCCTTTCAGAGACCTGTCCTGTGCTTTGCACTGAACTTTTTACCGGCTCGCGAAAAGCACAGCGATAAAAGCAGAGCACTGTGAATAGCTGCGCTCCGCCGCTCCTCTGCCCATCAGCCGGGGCCAACCCACGCCTCGCACGGGGGCCGTTAGGAGGTTTAATGAGCTGGTGGGGAGATGCCGCATGCCCAGTTAGATGTCGGGTGTTGTTATGCTCCCGCGTGGCTCTCGGGGACCGGGGGGGGGTCACCGCTCGCTGAGCATCAAAGTTTTGCCAAGCCAATCTGTATGGTTGGACGGTGGGCGTCTGGAGCGGTTGGGTGCCGGGAATTAACATGCGAGCGATGAACGTGGTCAGGACACGGCACTTTGCTAATATCCTGCTTTGTCTAGCTCCAATGCTGGCATTTCATCCCAAAATATGCCCCCGTGCATCCCCCCAGGAGTGGACTTCTTGGAGATGCTGCACATCCCCCAGCGCCACGCAAGTGCCTGCATTAAAAGCTTAATAAAAATAGCTTGTTAACGGGATGCGTTGCCATCGCCGGTGGCTTGCGAGCTTGCTGCCGATCTCTGTGCCTCAAATGCAGCAAGGCCAAGTAATTACGGGATGGGGGCTGCAAGGTCTCGACAGTCTAATTTCTATTAATTATAGCCCGCGCGTGATCCAGTCGCAGCGGAAAGAGGAGACGGGGAGATGGTAAATCATTGCAGGGGCTGAGGAGGGAACAGAAGATGCTGAAAGATGCTGAGGAGTGGTACCAGCTCTGCACCCGGGGCAGGCGGGGGGCTGGAGAAGGGGATGTGACCCCAGCCCCAAACTGGGTGGATTATTTGGGTGGTTTGTAACCGGCGGGGAAGGAGGACAATGTTTCTGTGTACAGAGCGGAGGGCCAGGAAAAGTATTCATGGACCAAAGGGGGTGTATGGGAATTGAGGCGATGCTCGCAGTGGCTGTGACCTGTGGCCATGGTGGAAGCTGGGCTGTCACCGCAGCGTGGGGCCATGCGTGAGGACGCAGAGGGGCTGGAGGGGAGCGTACGAGCAGGGAGGTGCTGCCTGAGCTACCAAAACCCCCCTAAATGTGGAGGGGGGCAAGGAGGAGACCACGCCGGCCCTGCAGTCCTGTCCCTCCACTGGCTCCAGCGATTTCCTACTGCTTTAGGAGCCAATTAAAAACTCAAAGCCAATGTCCTCGCTTTCCCCGTGACTGGCAGGGCTCCCATTTGGTGCACAGCACAACCCTCATGGCCCGGCCGCCGCAGTGGGGGGACACGGGGGGGGGCCAGCCTCCTTCACCCTCCACTTTTTGGAGTCCTGCCCAGCTGTCGGCGGGCGCCTGCCAATGCCCCTTGCGTGACGACCACCGCTTCCCATCAAGCTAATCAGAGCCCGTTTCTCAGTAAGTCGTTATAAATCCTGTTACGATCCCTCCTCTGCTAGGTAATAACGGTGGGCGCGAGACGTGCATTGGCGTAAAGCCACCCACGCCAGCGTTTGTCTGTGCTAGCAGTGGGATGGACATGTCGGGCATCGGACCCTCGCCAATCCATCCCCCAAGACTGTCTGAGGATGAGGCGGGTTGAACCAGAAATGTAAGGAAAAAACCTGCAGCTGCATCCAAAGAGGGGTGTGCTGCTGGCTGGCAGGTGTGCGCCTCCGCGCCGGTGGTACCCAAGCCTCTCCAGGAGAAGATGTTCCTGCTGGGGATGGACGGGCCCACAGCCCGAAATTCCCATTAGGAATACCGCTGCAGAGAAATACTGTGAGCTGGAGAGAAGCAGGGTACGGCCGAGCAGTGAGAGCATCCAACCTGGCTGCGCTGGGGAAGGAGCTGGGGAAGGGCTGGGGGATGCGCTGGGGGCATTGTCCGGCTGCAGGGGCAGTGCCACCCATTTTTTGGCGCTGCTGAGTCGGCAGAAGCAGGGGGGATGTGGGATGGCCGTGGGGATTGTGCCCGCTGGCTGACAGTGCGCATAAAGAGTTTGCTTTGAGCGCTGCCTTCGAAAGCAATCCCGCTCCCTGCGCGGCGAGCAAGCATCCTTTCCTCCCCCTCCCAGTTTGCCAGCGTCCTTCTGGGACTGGGCAGGCCCCGCAAACTGGTCTGGGGGGACCGGACACAGCCTTTGGGGATGCAGCGCTGTTCACTGATGCTCAGCCGGGCTGTTCCTAAAATACACAACCCGTCCCCAAAGAAGCATCTCTGATGGACAGCTCAGCTCCTGCAAAAGGGCCTGGGGGAGGCTGGGGGGGGGGGGGGCGCTTCCCCCCCCCCCCGCCTGTGGCTCAGTGGTGGTTGCTCTCGTGTGTAACGTGGAGGGAACATGTCCTGGACCTGGTGGAGACACGTCTGTGAAGGTGCCAGGGCCACCCGTGAAAGATGGTGGGAGAGTACAGGTGGGAGCTGTCACCCTCATCCCCTTCTGCGGTGACACAGGGGGACTGCCTGTGCTCAGCCCAGAGAGAAGGACCTCATCACCCAAGGTAGCATATAAATAATCCCCCCTCCCTGCCTGCGTTGTGGCCTCGGGGACCGCATATATGTTGAGGGACACACAGGGAGTGGAAGGGCCACCTCTGCCGCCAGTGACGCTCAATGGGAGATGCTCAACCTCACCTGCTATGTGAAATTTCTTAGGAGCCCACCATCCACATCTGCTTGAGGACTCACCAGGAGCAAGTCAGCTCAGTGGGGCTGAGCCTCGGGGACCCTGGTCACCCACAGCCACTGCCGGGACCCCTGATGGCCAACTCACCAGGAGCAAGTCAGCTCAGTGGGGCTGAGCCTCGGGGACCCTGGTCACCCACAGCCACTGCCGGGACCCCTGGATGGCCAACATGGGGTCCCACCAGCCACGGTGTCTCTTCCCACTCCTGAGGGCCTTGGAGAAGATGTGTCCCCTTGATCCCACGCTTGAGGCCATGTCAAGGGGGGAGCTCCTGGCTGCAGAAGTGGAGCCGGTGGTGCCTTGGCTCGGAGCCCAGGCAGACCTCAGCCTCTCGCTTCCCGACGCTTTGCTGCGAATCCGGGAAGTTTCTCCGAACAAGAGTGCACTTCATTTAAAAGCTAATCTGCAGTCACTCCATCATCAGGACAGGCCTGACGTGCTGGGATTTTTTGTTGTCATAGTTTCAACCCCCCCAGTTGCAAAGCGAGTGGTCCCCAGAAGACGATGCCGGGGGGATTTATTAGCTAAGGTAATGCAAGCAGCAGCCCATCATATTTATTGTGATAAATGGCACAATATCCAGAGCACTCCTTTGCTGGAGGATTTGCCCAGGAGCTCATCTTTATTCAGACGCTGCCCCGCCAGAGATGAGATTGTCTTTTCAGACGTGCTGAGCTGGTATCTCTGATAGGAAGACAAGGAACAAGCCCTCCTGCATTGCACTTCCCTCCCGTGTCTGGGGAGCAGGGACTTCCCGAGGAGCCCAGGTCCCGGGTTCTGCCTCCTCCACCGGCCCCGGGGACCGCGGGCGCCTCACAGTGGGCTCCTGCAGCCAAAGCATGGAGCTCTTGTAGAAGTCAGGCCCTGCTCATGGCCTTGGAAATACAAAGTTCCTGCAGCTGAATGACCACAGGTGCCCAAAGATAAGGTGGGGAGAGAGACAGTGATGCTATCACCTCCGCTGTCAGCTACCGTGCAGGATGGACTCAACCCCTTATCAGCCATCAGGGAATCCACATGGGATAGCAGCTTCTTGGAAATAAGCCTTTCTGTGCTGTTGAGATGCTCGGCGAATCCGAGAGCGCAACTGTGCTGCTGGCTGAGCAAACGGGTTTTATTTTTCCCCAGCAGCAAACAACTCGGATGCAATTCCTGATGGTGTGTGGGGGAGAAGGGGGTCAGGGTTGGGCCATGGGGCCACTGCAGGTGAGAGGTTGGAGCTTCCCAGCCTGGCTGTCTCCTGCCACCCTTGCTGGGAAGGAGAAGGTGCTGTTAACTCTGACTGCCGAAGCCGAAACGTGGGCGATGCTGCAGTGGCATCCTCTTAGCACCTTAATTGGCTCGGATCGGTCGGTAATAAGTGGCCCCCGCAAGATGTATTTATTTTATAACACATTTAACTAATGGCATTTGCATAAATGGGAATTAAAAGAGAAAGAGCTAGAAGATGAACGTGAGGGTTCAGATGGACTCTGGGAAGATCTTCCTGGGGTTAGCAGGAGGGACAGGGATGAGGCACTGGTGGGTACCTGCACACGGGCATGCGGCTGGTCCGTGCTCACTGTCTGTGCCCTCTGGGCATGGGTTGAGGAGATTTTGGGGCAAATGTCCAGGATGAGCAGTTTGCAACCTCTGTGAAGCACCCGTGTATGCTTCTAGCTCGAGTGCGGTAACTGGGTACAATTTGGTGCGGGGGCCAAAGAATGTGGTGCTCACAGGCACCAAATGAGGGTGCCTGCGAGGTCTGGCAGAGGAGCTGGGTCAGGGGGAAGTACATGTTACAGATGTGTTGTGTGTGGGTCCGCGTCTCTGAACAGGGACCTTGGGGAGAAGAGAGCATCCCCGCTCCTGGGGCCATCTTTAATCTGGTACATGCCGGGTGAAATTCTCCTCTTCCGACACTTCCCATTCTCCGGGCAGCCTCCTGCCAGGATCTCTGGTGTGTCTGTGGGAGCGTTGCAACCCCCCATCCTCCCTTCTCCCCCAGGTCTCCAGCAGCTGTGACTACGTCTTTGTCAGCGGGAAGGAGTCGCGGGGCTCCATGAGTGCCCGGGTCACCTTCACCTACGAGCACCTCTCTGCCCCGCTGGAGATGACGGTGTGGGTGCCCAAACTGCCACTGCACATCGAGCTCTCGGACGCCCGGCTGAGCCAAGTGAAGGGCTGGAGGGTGCCCATCCTGCCGGACAGGAGGTGGGTGCTTTGGGGCCACTGCGCCTGGGGTCTGTCCAGCCTGGAGAAGGCAAGATGAAGGTGGTAGTGAGGGTCTAATTGCTTTGTTCAGCTACTTAATGATGGGGTTTTAAAGATGGTGGAGCCAGAGTCATCTCAGGGGTCCTAGTGAAAAGGTGAGAGATCATGGACACAGGTTGCATGTTTGTATGGAAGGAGGAAAATTTCACAATGAGGGTGGTCAAACGCTGGAACTGGTGGGGGACATCTATCCTTGGCAATGGTCAAAACTCTAAAGTTAGCCCTGCTTTGAGGTCTAGAGACCTCCAGGTGTCCATCCCAACCTGAGATATCGTGTCCTCTCGGCTGGTTAGAGGGCAGAGATACCAGTGACCCCCCTCGCCAAGTTCTGCTAAAGCCCTCGAAGACCTCATGCGCAACAGGCATCTTTTTGCCCAGGAGCCACTAGTTTTTTCCCATGCTTGGGGAGACCCTGCGTTTTTCCCTGCCTGGCCACCCCTCTCCTTTCCTGGGGTGGGCTGAAGAGCAGTGGCAGGGGGGAGCTTGGTGACGCTGCCCACCCACTGCCCCATCCTGCAGGTCAGTGCGGGACAGCGAGCACGAGGAGGATGAAGAGGAGCGGAAGCAGAGCCGGGGCTGTGCCCTGCAGTACCAGCACGCCACGCTGCAGGTCTTCACCCAGTTCCACACCACAGCAGCGGAGGGCACGGGGCAGGTGGTCACCATGCTGGGGCCCGACTGGCTGGTGGAGGTCACCGACCTGGTCAGCGACTTCATGCGCGTGGATGACCCGCGGGTGGCTCACATGGTGGACAGTTTCACGCTGGCCGGGAGGGAGCCGGGCACCACGCTCTTCAAGGTACCCCCCGGCCACCTTTGCCCCCCTCCGCAGGTTTGGCTGGGGGTGGCAGGCGGTGATGGGCACCCTCATCCCCTGCAGGTAGTCTCCCCGCTCATGGAGGCAGTGCTGGGCGAGACACTGGTGACAGTGGCGGAGGAGAAGGTCAGCATCACGGACCTGAAGGCCCAGGTGGTCTCCAGCCTCTCGCTGTCCTCCACCCCAGCCCCGGCAATAGCCACACCATCATTGCCCGGACGTCCGTGCAGCAGACCCTCAGCTTCTTCAAGCAGGTGAGGCCAGGGGGGTGCACTCGGGCTTGGGGGGCCTGGTGGGGGACTTGGGGTGGGATGAGGGCTCCATCTGCAAACCTCGCCTCCCAAATCCTGCCCACAGTCATCCCAGGCCCCCACAGCACCCGCTGTCTTCCAGACACCCTAGTGACTCCCAAAGCACCCCAGAAACCTTCACGCAGACCTATGAACCAGCCCTGCCCAGCCTGGGGACAGGACACAACCATGGGGAGGGACAAAGGGGTCTGGAAGAAATCCTATACAGTTCCCAGCTCAGCTCTGGTAGCCACATCTGGCACCTCTGGGGCTGGGATTTGGAGAGAGCCTGGTCAAGCATGGGGAAAACTGAGGGAAGAAGAGGCAAAAGGGAGAAACTAGGTGATAGTTGGAAGGAACAAGATGGATGATGGAGGGATAAAGGGTGAATTGGATGGAGAGTAGGATGCAAAGGAGGAGGGATGGACAAACGGGTGCAGGTGGGACTGGCATCGTGCTGGGCAACCGGTGCCTGTGTTGGTCCCGCAGGAAGCGCTCCTGAGCCTGTGGATTTCCTACAGCGATGGCACCACAGCCCCCCTCTCCCTCTATGACCCCAAGGACTACAACCTGGTGGTGAGCAGCCTGGATGAGAAGGTGGTCTCGGTGACCCAGGACCGGGCATTCCCCTTGGTGGTGGCAGAGAGCGAGGGCGCAGGGGAGCTGCTGCGGGCCGAGCTGGTCATCTGCGAGAGCTGCCAGAAGACCAAGCGCAAGAGTGTGCTCTTCACAGCCTTGGCCAGCGTGCGGGTCCACTTTGGGTCTGAGGAGGACCCGACCTATGACTACGACCATGTGTCCAGCAAGCCAGGGCTGGCAGAGACGGGGGCGAGCACCACCCTGCGGGCAGAGGTGGAGAGGAAAGCAGAGCCGAGCGAGGACAGTAGGATGTCCAGTGCGTCTCACCCCACCGAGGACTTCCCCACCATCCCCACTGGCTTCGTCCAAGTGACCAGGGGCCTGACGGACCTGGAGATAGGCATGTATGCCCTCCTGGGCGTCTTCTGTCTGGCCATCTTGGTCTTCCTCATCAACTGCATTGTCTTTGTGCTGAAATACCGGCACAAACGCATCCCACCTGAAGGCCAGACCAACATGGACCATTCCCACCACTGGGTCTTCTTGGGCAATGGGCAGCCCTTGCGGGCTCACAATGACCTCTCCCCCCAGCCCGAGAGCCCCGGGAACCCCCTGGAAAATGTCCAGACCTGCTGCCATGGGGACCACCACAGCAGCGGGAGCTCGCAGACCAGCGTGCAGAGCCAGGTCCATGGTCGCGGGGACGGTTCCTCGGGGGGCTCCACGCGGGATCAGAGCGAGGACCCACTCAACTCTCCCACCTCCAAACGGAAGCGGGTGAAGTTCACCACCTTCGCCACGCTGCCCTCCGATGAGCTGGCCTACAACTCCATCCCCATCGCTGATGAGGAGGACTTGGAGTGGGTCTGCCAGGACATGGGGCTGCAAGACCCTGAAGAGCTTCACAACTACATCCGCAGAATCAAAGAGATCGCTTAACGCAGGGGCAGAGGGGACAGGGCGGGAGGGAGGGGACTGCCATGCTGTGCCACGCCATGCCATGCCGTGCCACACCACGCCCTGCCACACCACGCTGGCTGCTTCCCCGGGGCTGGAGACCCAAATTTGGCTCTCTGTTGCGCGTTCCTTCTTCCACACATTTCACGTCCTCCTCACCCCCTTGGAAGGCACTCCCGGGGGCCTGTTTTCTTTTCTTGCCCTTTAGCGTCTGGTTTTCCCAGGGGAGGCATCAGCGCACGCGCAGCCCCCCAGCCCGCTGGCCCATGGCCAGGGGGAAGCAAGGGAGGTGAGCTGCGGGGCAGGCGATGGATGGGGTCAAAACCTTGGTGTGCATGTCCAATGGCGAACAAGGCAGGACGATGCTACGGGTCCTGCTGTGCAGGGGGTGGAAGAGGGAAGATGTCCCGGTCCCCCCAGGAGCCCATCGGGGAGGTGGTGGGTGGGGGCTTCCTGACGGCAATGTCTGCTGCCTTCACTGCACTCAGTTGCACAATTTTGGTGGTGAATCCTGTTTCAGGGATTCACTGCCCCACGGCTGTTGGGGTGTTGGGGAGCTCCCCCATCCAGAGCCTGCTGCCCCACGCTGTGGGCGATGCTGGGTGAGGCAGGAGGGGAGGGCGACTGCTGGGGGGCTGGAGACTCATGGCCACAGCTCTGGGGCACTGCTGTCCCCATCGCCCACTGCATCCCAGCCCCAAATGCCAGGCTTGCCCCGCTCCCTTTGGCATAGGCCCTGCGGGATGGTAACAGTAATGTTTGCCACAGGAGCATCCCTTGGGGACCACGGGCAGCTGCCTGTGTCACCTCCCCCCAGCTGCCTGGGAAGGGCTGTGGCCCCCAGGCAGGGGCAGTTTGGGGGTGGCCAGCAAGCTTGCTTGCCTGTGAGCTTGCCTGCCCTTGCCTCTCCCCCTGTTCCCAGCTGTGGAACTGGTGCTGGGCCCCCCCCACCCCAGCAGCCCTGCTGGGACCTCCAGGGGCCAGGTGCCTGGATGCAGCTCTGGGGCTGGGAGGTGGTGCAGGGGCTTCCCACTGCCCCGGGGGTCCAAGCCTGGGTGGGGACACCCACAACCAAACTTGGCCTGGGGCTCCCAGTGCCAGCCCATTTCCGCTAGTTCCAGCCTAGCAGGGATGCCAGGAGCCAGGCTTAGCCTCCGTGGTGCCTTCTGACTGCCATAACCCAATGCCTCCCCTGTCACCCTGTGCTGGCTGGTGGCAGCTCCCAGCCCCCCCAGCCCAGGGCCACCCCACCTCCCAGCCCAGCACAGAGCATCCTCAGCCAGGTTAACCCTGCGGTACCAGGGCTGGCAGGCTGGGGGTCCCAGCCTGTGCAGTCATACCCATGGGCACTGAGCGCGTGGGGACAGGGACCCCCCCCCCACCCCCTGGCATCACCTGGTGGAGGGGGGAGGTGGAGCTGGCAGCGGATTATTTCTGGATCGGAAGTTACCCACCACTGTGTCTCTTTTTTTTTTTTTTTTTCTTAAATAAAAGACCAGAAAAGAAAAAAAAAACAATGAAACAAAAAGTCGAAACCAAAAGGCATTGCAGCACTGTGATGGGCCGTATCTCTGCTGCGGTGCCTGGGGCGGGTGCTCCCAGCAGTTTGGGGGTCAGCCCCGGTGGGCACGGGGTCTGCTGGGGGGAGGACACACACTGCCAGGGTTCTGGGGGCATGGCTCAGCTTTGACCCCCACCTAAGCTCTGAGCACTTTGGGGTCAAAGCTGTGGATTTGGGGCTCCTTCCTCCAAAATCCTCCCCTCTTGGGCAGCCTGATCAAAGACCGGCAATGCTGCAGCCCCATCCTCGCTGGCCCCTGTGCCTCAGTTTCCCTGGCAGGCAAGCAGCAGTCTGTGGTGGTGTGCGGTGTTTCGAAAGCCTCTTTAAAGAGTTGATCAATTTTGGGCTATGAAGATTTCTCCCCCGAGTGGCCTTAAAACTTACCTGATAGATCTATGCTGATTTTATATATCCATATACACATATATAAGGGGGAATTGAGATGTGCTCAAAGGCCAGGCGGATGATGCAGTTAGGTTTTACTGTGCCCTGTTATCTAAAGGACCCAGGTCTGGCTGAACGAGCCGCTGAGCTGATAGCGGCTCTGAGCAGTAAAATTAATATAGCCGACTTCCCTGCTTGGAACTGCCAAACCTCCTCATTAAATTAACATATATGAATATTTGTTAAAAAAAAAGGAAGAAAAGGACGGGGGAAAGGTAAGAAAAGTGTATAATAAAATTTTATAATTGTAATAAGACACGGCAGTGCCCGACTCCTGGTCCATGAGCGTGTCTGGGGGCTGTGAAGTTGGAAGGCGGTGGGGGGGGACAACACAGACACGTAGGGGTCAGGGACAAAGTAGCTTGGCTGGACTTGGCGTGGAGTGTCCCTGTGGCTGAGCCTCCACCAGGTTTTGCTCCCCTTCCTCTGCCTACTTTCCGCCAGCCCCCCTGAGCAGCGTTGGCTGCTCGCCCATCGTCTCCTCCTGGTGCTCAGTGGCTATAGCCGGGCCCAAGGTTTGACACCAAGCATCAGTGGCGGTTTTCCAGCCCATCACTTCCCATTTCAGCTGACAGATCCAGCTCGGGTCTCCATGAGCCTTTAGGAAGGCAGCGCGCATGGACCAGAGGAGCCCGAGCTGTTTGCAGGGGCTGATGATGCTCTCATGCCCGAGCATCCCCAGCTTGTGTCCTAAGAGTGGCTCTCGCCACCCAGGCACCTCCATCCAGGCACTTCACCCCTGCCAGCACCGCTGCCGCCCTGTAGCCAGTGGGGACCATGCAGTGCTGGGCGATGGGCAGTGGGGAGGGTGAGAGACCTGCTCAGGACAGCTTCAGCTTTTGCATGAAGAGAGCGAAACCTTCTATATAGCTGTATAGCTATCTATTTATTGATATATAAATATGTATATATTTATAGTTCATACATACATATGTATATATTTATACTTTATACATATGTATATATATGCATATAGTGTGTGCATATATTCATTTATTTTTTATTTTTATTTTTATATATA